TACATGACTATCAACATCATTAGGCACCTATATCCCTTTGTGAATCTGGCCCAAACTGACTAGTCCATAGTTTCCACTGAGTCTAGCCCACATTTCAGTTTTCATGTCATTCACTCTTACTGAAGCATTGTTTGGATAGTGTGTTTAGAATAAAGAACAGGAGTACTTGTGGCACCTTAGAGACTAACAAATTTATTTGAGCATAAGCTTTCGTGGGCTACAGCCCACTTCATTGGATGCATAGAATGGAACACACAGAAAGAAGATATTTATACATAGAGAGAACATGAAAAGGTGGAAGTAGCCATACCAACTGTAAGAGGCCAATCAATTGAGATGAGCTATCATCAGCAGGAGAAAAAAAACCCCCAAAACTTTTGAAGTGATAATCGAGATGATGTTTAGAATAGTTTTGCAATGGGAAAAGTGTATTTGTTGTGGTCGAATGACTCCAAATATGGCTGAAGTCATTTTGCTCAAATTTAAATTAAAAATTAAAACAAACTCCCCTTTGGGAAGAAACCAAACAAGGACAAGTTTATCCCAAAAGGCAAATTTCATAAACTTGGATGTGTGTGAGACAGCAGATGGGTACGAGTGATGGGTTCATAATGGAAAGTGTTTTTTAATATCGGATTAGATGAGAGAACTAAAATGTCTAAATGTCCAGATTCTGTTTTCTCCATGTTTGCTAAGGCCCCTCTCCTGCAATGAGTCCTATGCAGGTGGACCCTCATTGAAATCAGTGGGGCTCAGCCCAGTCACAGGGTTTTTTGTCCCCCACCCCCCCAAGAGTTCATTGCAGGATCTGGGTTCTTGGCAATGTGTCAGTGGGAAATATTTCCTGTGTTGTTGTTGTTGAAGTGAAGGACTTTAGTCTTGGGGAAAAAAATATCATCCTTGCATCATGAAATAATTCTGCACCATTGATCAAGTTGCTCTCAAGACCAGATTCTTTGAAGTGTATATTGTAAGTGAATAATAGACCTTGGGGTTTATTGTATTCCTTCAGTTCCTGCCTGACAGACCCTTTGCAGAATCAAATTGAATTGTACTAAAATATTTGTGGCCAAGGACAGCAAGCTTCTCATCAATACATACATTTTAAGAAATCCAGGCTTTCTTCTCTGACACAAGCCTTGACCCCATGCAGTGTTTCTACGTATTCTTTTAATCAAAGACAAAGATTTGTTTACTTGGGTCACTGAGATGACTGACTTGGCACTCAATATTTAAAGGGATTTTTCCATTGAGTTCAGGGGTAGGCAACCTATGGCACGTGTGCCAAAGGCAGCACACGAGCTGATTTTCAATGGCACTCACACTGCCCGGGTCCTGGCCACCGGTCCGGGGGGCCTCTGCATTTTAATTTAATTTTAAATGAAGCTTCTTAAACATTTTAAAAACCTTATTTACTTTACATGCAAAAATAGTTTAGTTATATATTATAGACTTATAGAAAGAGACCTTCTAAAACGTTAAATGTATTACTGGCATGCGAAACCTTAAATTAGAGTGAATAACTGAAGACTCGGCACACCACTGCTGAAAAGTTGCCAACCCCTGAGTTATGCTATACAGTAGCCTCATTTTTCTCCTGTTTTCTGTAATCATCATAGAGCCTTGCCCTAACAAAAGATTTGCAGCTGTAGGCGCTTCTCTCCTGCATCTACACCCTAACCCCACCAAAGGGGAAGGTTAATATTGCTTGAGACAATATTATCTCCTGCATGGATGTCCTATTAGCAATCTGCAAGCTCCTCAGCGATGCAATAGTTCAGAGGGTGGGCTGGTCGTTGGCTACACCCCTCCCTCCCTCATTCCCATCCTGACCTACTGATCTCCAACTTTACCACAGCCCCAGTTCAGTAAAGAACTTAACTTTAAGCATGTGCTTAAATCACATTGGCCTCAATAGGAGTTAAGCATGTGCTTATATTTAAACACATATTTAAGTGCAATGCTCACTAGGAATTGGATTACTCACTTGCTTCGGGGACTTGGGGCCATATGCCTTTGTTAAGACTTAGACAGCTCCAGGAAGGAGGAGTCTTTTTTTTTCCACTTCCACTCTCCCCACCCCAGTTCCACCAGCGTTGCTTCCCTCTGCCAACGGAAGGCAGCATCTCTTCCTTGGTATCTTGCAGGATTTCAGTAATTTGAGGTATAGGGCATGCAAATCTCCTGCATCCTTCCACCTCGCATAACAGAACTGCACAGGTGCCAGCAGTGGCGGATTAATGATTTTGCCGCCACCGGCCCCATATGAACTTGTTTTAGTTTTTTTTACAAATTTGTTTGATCTAAATATCATTAAAATAATTGAACATTTACAAGTTTGATTATAAATAAAATTACAAGTACAGCAGACCCTGGCTTGAACGCGCGTCTATATAGCGCGATTTCACTTATAGCGAGGGACCGCGCATGGATCCAAAACTGAGAACCGCTTAATTTCTTCCTTCCAGTCATATTATTAACGTTTAGGATTCTCGCGAGTATGTTTACTAAATGGCGTCGCGCCGTCATTGGTGGTTTCAATACGCACTATGATTGGTAGAATTGCGGCGTCACTGAGGCCGCAATTACAAAAATGCTGCTATTATAAATTTGCCGCCCCTGCAAATTTGCCGACCAAGGCCAGTGGTTCTCAAACTTTTGTACTGGTGACCCCTTTCACATAGCAAGCCTCTGAGTGCGACCCCCATTATAAATTAAAATCACTTGTTTATATATTTAACACCATTATAAATGCTGCAGGCAAAGCGGGGTTTGGGTTGGAGGCTGACAGCTCACAACCCCCATGTAATAACCTCGCGACCCCCTGAGGGGTCCCAACCCCCAGTTTGAGAACCCATGGCCTAGGCGATAATACGCCGCTGAGTGCCAGTTGGCTAATAGGCTTTGTGCCCGTGGAGAAAACTAGGAGGTTTTTCCCCAGTACACCTCTACCCCGATATAACATGACCCAATATAACAAGAATTCGGATATAACGCGGGAAAGCAGCATTCCGGGGGGGCGGGGCTGCACGCTCCAGCGGATCAAAGCAAGTTCGATATACCGCGGTTTCACCTATAAGGCAGTAAGATTTTTTGGCTCCCGCGGACAGCGTTATATAGGGGTAGAGATGTACTTCCATGAGAGTTTTGAGTGAGCAAGCCCTTGCTGAATACTTTTTGGTTGTCCAAAGCTTTGGCCCAGGCATGTCGCCGCTGAATCTATTGTTAGGAGAAAGTGGATTGTGCTGGAGTCACTATGTACATATTCACAAGCCACCTGGCTTCACTCTAACTCAGATCAACTTTCAGCAAGTAGAAAGAAAATAAAAAATTAACTGCAAGTTAATTTCTTGTATATTGTAAGTTGTATATTGTTTTAACTGAATGCAGATGGAATGAGCTGTTCTCATGCTTTCCATACTTAGAAACAGACCAGGTACTTCTTGTTCAATGCTCTTACAGCTGCTACACTCAGTATTGATGTTTACATGCACACATGAATGTTTCTTAAGTACAATTCATTGCTGAGAGTCAGTATCTCTCAAGGAAGTAGAGAAATAACAATGCACTGGAAAAAAAAAAAGGGACTTTTGGAGAGTAGACAATTATGTAAGATAAACGGTAATGCTCTGTGACTTCAGTTTGGTCAGAGCTCCATGTCCTACATGCAGGCTGGCTGGTGTTCTGGTGCAGCAAAGACATCAGAACATCCTGAGTTAAATCAGCAAACAAATCCCAGAACTGCAAATTACCTTTCTGGAAATGCCTGATCATGCAAGGTCTCAAGCACCCCATGTGAGGTACTGATCACACTTAATTCCTTTTGGTGATGAAGATAAACATCTTGCAGGAGATTGAAAGCATGTTGCACCTCACACCCATGCAGGAGCGCCGCCAGCTTTTTTGCCGCCCTAGGCAGCGGAAGGTCCCGCCCCCGAAATGCCGCCCCCAACAGAGGTGGCGGAAGGTCCCACCCCCGAAATGCCACCCCCGACAGAGGCGGCGGAAGATCCGGCTGCCGCGGTCGCCAACCCCCAAATGTTAGTGCACTGGCCCTGCACCCGTGGGCCCTAATTTAGGAGGCTGTAGGTGCAGAGACATAAGGCCTAATTCTGATGACACATCTGTCTATATCTATCTGTTGTCTCTTGTCTTATACTTAGATTTTTAAGTCCCTTGGGGCAAGGACTGTCTTTTTGCTCTGTTTGTACAGCGCCTGGCACAATGGAGTCCTGGTCCATAACTAGGGCTCCTCAGCACTTCAGTAATAATAATCATAAATAACAACATGGTTCTTACACAGCCCCCATTGCCATAGTATCTGAATGCCTCACAATCTTTAACGAATTGATCCTCACAAAATCCCTGCGAGATAGGGAAGCGCTGTTATTCCCATTTTACAGCTGAGGAACTGAAGCACACGGAGGCAAAAAGCATGAAAAGTATTTTAGGCACCTAATTTCCATTGATTTCAATAGGAGCTAGGTACATAAATACTTTTGAGGACCTGGGACGGACAGACACAGTTCCTGGACCACTGGCCCATCAATCCTCTCTACTGATCTATAGATGCATGAGCACTTGACAAGAATTGTCTCCCTGAGTTTGGTGGGCTTCAGTTGCCCATAGTCTGGAAGGCACTTTTGGGTCCTTGAAGAGGAAAGCACTATAGAACATTGAAGAGATTACTCTTATTTAAGTGCAACCAATGCACTCTTATCAACTGACTCATGAGAACAATATTGATGAAGTTCTTTCTATGTGTTGTGAACATAAATATGTCCTACTTCATTTTTTTTCAAAAGCTGACATGGCTAATCATTTCTACATCATCAATAAATCTGAGCAACAATCCGATTGCATTGTCTGTGAAGATTTTTTTTTTTTTTTCAATCACTTGTGTGCCAAGAAATAATTGATAAAAGTCTCCCCTCGGATGTGTTAAAAACATACTGTTTGCCTGGCAGATCTGTTAAATTTCCTGTCATTTTATCTTTCAGGTTGACAGCTAAGGCAGTTGCTGTATTGTTACCGATCTTGGGAAGTTCATGGATCTTTGGAGTTCTAGCTGTCAATGACCATGCAATAGTATTTCAGTACATGTTTGCAATATTCAATTCCTTGCAAGTAAGTACATAATGCAGGCTCTGAGGGTTCAGACAAAAGCTGTAGAGCACCACAAGCTTGCAACTGACAGATCTTTAGCAATGTTTTCATTTGTGTATATTTTTCTGATCTTCCATACCCCTTTATCTCATAAGCATGTACAATCAATGATATTTCTCCAGTCTCTGCATAGACAGTGAAAATACTGAGCAATTGAGTGAGGCTTCTAACAGCCACAAGATGAACAGGCACTGAACACTGCCCTTGACAGAGTTTATTCAAATTTCATTTTCAAGAGTGAGGCATCAAGGACTAGCTTTAACAGTGGATGCACTGCTGCATCAGTGGGCCTCTTTCCTTCTAACCTTTGTAAATTGCACGCATGCTTAGTGCAGTACTTCAAGTAATAACCTGTAATATTCTTCTTCCCTTTTAGGGATTTTTCATCTTCCTGTTTCACTGTCTTCTGAATTCAGAGGTATGTCCCCTGTCCCCCCCCCGCGGTGAACATCCAGTAAGAGATCTTTCTGTAGTAAAACCAAGAGCCAAATAATGCTAAAATAGTGTTAGGATGGTATAACGTTTGTAAATCAGCTTCGGTATTTTTAGGAACCCCTTGTTTAATGCTGTTGCTTTAAGTACTGCCCTTTATTCCTCAGTCACAGTTGCTTAGCAATGTGTATGTTTTTTGTGTAGTCACTGTCATTACAATTTATGAAATCTTCCGGAAAGTAGGAACTCGGTAAAAAACTCAAGTGCCATGGGCGTAAAAATAAACAGCGAATGAACCCATTATGGGCACTTTCCTTGTCACTGATATTTGTAAGTTTCTGTGGGAGAAACATGAAACTATCCGTGATTTTCTGGTTCAGAGGATTCCTGGCCACACATGACCCCACTTTGTAGCAATGTATGTCATTTAGCGCATTTAACCTAAAGAAGCGGAGTTTCCAAATACGTGATAACAGATCAGAATTCAAGTCTAAGGAGAAACGTACTGCTTGGGCAAGGATGGAGACTAGCATTCTATGGGCAACATTTCTGAAGTGAGAATGTTTGGGTTTCAGAGCCAGAAGGGAAAATAAATATTCATCTCAACAAAACAGACTTTTAGAACTCACTAATCCCTTTATTAATGAGAAACCAGAGTAGAACATTTCCCGGGGACTTTTCTTGGCATGATGCTATGTTTTTTACAGTGGACTAAAGGGGGATATTTTCATGTAAAGACTGTGTCACTGGATTGACTCCTTTAGAGCCAAAGCTTTAGCCAGATAAATAGGCCTTGCACAGGGAATTGCTACATGGACCGGAGTAGCCAGAATGCTCCCCTCTCCCAGGGCGCTGAGCACAAGAGCCCAGCAATATGCCATTGTTACTGTAAATCAAAGGTGGTGATGGAAGCCGCTGTCAATATCAGGTGGGTGTTTTAATCAGTGGATCAGCATATACACATATACCTACTACTGATCACTCTTCTGCTTATCCCATGCCTCTTCCCTCCATGCTACACATACACATTGGAATCACTCCAGTTCTTCAGTGTTACGGGCCTTCTCTGCCTGCGCAGAAGCAGGCAGGACATGGTGCTTGCAATAATCAGGTGTTTGCTGAGCACCATCAGCATGACCATTGTTGAATGTAATCATGGTCTCTGCCCCAATGACTTCATAGTGTTGGGACCAAGTACCGAATTCTCTAGTTGCAGTGGGATCAGAAGGAGATGCCAGTGTGTAAAGCTAGGAGGGCTGGTAAAAGTTAAGAAGGAAAAATATTTAAATATCGTATTGTTCCCTGTGCTCCGAGAGCCTCTTTCTCTCCATGACCTATCTGACTCCCAGACAAAACAACCCAATGTCCAGATATTTATATCTGACTTGCTACCTTTTTTAAAAACAAAAAAAAAACAAAAAACCAGCAACCTACTAAGGAAGGGAATTCATAAACTCCTCCGAGTGATCTTAGAGGCACTAGGTACTTCAGATTCTGATCCCTGGCAAACTGCAGAAATGAGCAATTGCTTTTGGAGAATATTTCTTATTAGCTCCACTGTACAGTCTCTATGAGGGTCTCTATTTAAAATAGACCTTCTGAAAAAAACTTTAAAAAAATGCTTTACTCCTCAAAACTTTGTGTATCAGGGAATCCCAGACATAGGAAAGCAAAACTGCTAGCAATAGTTCAAATCAGTAGGGTAAAGCAGAGATATAGGGTTTTACAAGCAATACATAAGACCTGTTTGAAGAAATACTATAAAAAATGGCAGTACTTTTGATTGCCTGAGGACCTTGGCAATGCCGGAACTACAGAGCAGACTACATCCTTTTTTACCTGCGGTTATTTTTTGTTTTGTTTTTCAAAGTAAAAAGAAGAACAACAACAAAATTAGAAGGAGAATATAAACAACAATTATAGCATGCAGTCACAGTGGGAGAAATATAAAAAGGTACATATACAGCACCACAGGAACTACAAATATACAGACCATCTTACCCTAATTTTAATTGTACCTGCCATCAAAACAAGAATATGTTTACTTGTTTTTAAAAATCGCCAACCATTGGCTCCCTTCTGCTTTCAGAATGGCAAAACTGCCACTGACTTCAAAGGGTGCCAGATCAATACAGTGATAATTATTTCTCTCCAGATTTACTAAGTCTCACAGATTGACATGCCACTGAGGTAGTTAGTTAATTTTCCTGGTTTTTCTCCACTGGTGTTTAGCAATTAGCATTCTGTAAATCATGCTGGATTCTAATGTCTAGGGGGCGGTATGACTTAGTGACTAGAGCACTGGTTCTATTCCTGGCTCTGCCACTACCCTGCTGGGTAACCTTGGGCAAGTCACTTCCCTGCTCTGTGCCTCCGTTTCCCCATCTCTAAAATGGGAATATTGATATTGCCCCTATATTAGCATTTAAGAATCATGTTTAATTGCTTTGTCACCTTCTTCTAAAATGGAAGCACAATAAAGTGACATACACCCATCACCACATTTCTGCATGGCATGGTTTTATTTTATCCAACTGGAGAGAAGTTGAATTTCATCAGAAAGCATCATGTAGTTCATAAATATAAGGGTACATGTAAAGCTGTAGCTAGGGTGGCGAGTATTCTGTTCCCTGCCACCTGTAAATGCTTTTAGAGAACGACAAAGCAGCACTAGGGCTTAATGACATGAACAGTCCCATTGATTTCAGGGGGGCTGTTTGACTGAGAAAGGTGAGCTGGAGTGGCATGGGGATATGATCCCTGTTGTCACTATGAGGACATACTTCTTTAGGACTTCAGTGGAGTGGTGGGTATTTGGAGGATCATGGTGGGCGAGTTTTTCATTGACTTCAGTGGGACCAAGATTTCACCCTGTGTGTGCAAAGTGAACATTATTCTTAAAGTGTGAAATTCACCTCTGTCTGGACTGGCCAGCATCTTTAAGTCCCACTCAGGCTCTCCAGATAAGTGGTGCCTAGGCCTCATGCTGGAATTTTAGCCATGCTGCAGTCCTGCTCTGAAAAGTGACTACATAAGATGGCACCTTTTGCTCAAAGATCCCTCTGCATTTTAGTGACTAAAATAAATACTTCTTCCCATTTTTACTTCCATGGAGCCAGCACAGCATTGCTGAAGCAGGCTGCATTCTAGTTTGGCTCACAACCATCAACACAATTATTTACTAAGCTCCCAGTGCTGGGCCAAAGCCTCTCTGCATAGACTCCTGTGCAGCCAGAATATAGAAGGTGATGGAGTTGCACTAGTGTTACTTGATTATTAGAATCTACAGGGCTGGCAGTTTGGAAAAAACAACTGCCTGGATCATCTCCCGTCAGGGAAAAACTTGCCAGGAGGGGTTCTAGAGGAGGAATTCTGCATGCCAGATCCCCTCATCCCATCAGAGAGAGATGGGTGTGTGTGTGCATTGTCAGGGTTTGCATCCAGTGAAAAAAGAACACAGGGCCCACCTGCAAATTTGGTGACTCACATAGAACCTATGGGATCCCCGGAAGACCAAGATGAACTGCACAAAGCCCCTTGTGTCTCTGGGGGTGCACCTGGAGGCCACAACCATTGGTGGCTCCTGGCGAGCAGTTACTTTGGAACTGCGCAGAGTCCAGGGAAGTGCCCCCCTGAGTGCACAGATTAGCTGATACAATTGGAGCTTATATTTTTACCTATAAAATGTGCAAATCTGATCACAGACCTATTGATTAACACTAAAATGGAACCCCACAATATTATTATTATTACTATACAGTAGAACGGCAAATATTCCATAGTAATATATGCATATGAACCCTCATCCATTTATAAGATAAAGACAATACTTTGTACCTGAAAATAAATAAAACCAGATTAGGATCATCATTTCCTGACTGCCTTCTAATGCCTCTTTCCAAAGGTTAGAGCCGCCTTTAAGCACAAAACCAAGGTGTGGTCCCTCACCAGCAGTTCCATTCGCAACATCAATGTGAAACCCTTCAACTCTGATATCGTAAGTACTCCCATCAATGCCATTTTTATCCTATTATACTGGCTGAAAGGTTATAGAGCAAAGCTGTGAGACTAACTGATTTTTTGGTTCACTGGCAGTTCTGAGAAAAAAAATCAAAAGAATTGTTTGATTTGGTCAAGCTGAAATTAAAAAAAATATATTTGGGGGGGGGGTTCAGCAAAGTGAAAAAGTTGGAAAAACTTCATTTTGTGTCTAAGCCAAGGAAACATTTTTGTTCAGCCTGAAACTGTGTTTCATTTTGAACTTTTTTAATATAAGCAAAGGAATTGAAGGGCTACAGTCACAAAGCCAGGGAGCAGATGTAGGATTCAACAAAAGAGATGGAGAGAGGCCCAACTAGGGTGACCAGATAGCAAAAAATCAGGACGGGTGTGGGGAGGTTATAGGTGCCTATATAAGAAAAAGCCCCCCAAATCAGGACTATCCCTATAAAATTGGGACATCTGGTCACCCTAGGCCCAACCCAGAATAGAATAGCCAGTAGCCTGATGGTTAGGATACACACCTGGGAGGGGAGTGATGGGGGTTGCAGTCCCTGCTCCCGACCTGGGATTCAAACCCGAGACTCCCACATCCTCAGTGAGTGCCCTGAGCATGACACTAAAGGGTGAGGGTGAGAGTGAGAGTGTGTCCGTCCTCCTCCTTCAGAGCTTTGTGTAGCCCAAAAAATTGAAACGTTTCATTTTCAAAATGTTAAAACGATTTGTTTAGACATTTCCAAAACTTTTCTTTTGTTTTGACTGAAACATTTTGCCCAAATGGACACAAATTTTGGCAAAATATTTCATTGGATCCGCATTTGCATTTTTTTTTTTTGTTGGAAAAAAAAATGTTTCAGCTGAAAAATGTTGCCCAGCTGTAGAGTAATATTGTGGAAAGAAAGATGAGATGACAGGGGGCACAGAAGTTAATTAGCACTTGTGTCTACAGTGTGTTCTATCGCCAGTGTTGTGTTGTGACTATAGGAGATACTCTGAAAGCAGAGGACTAAATTCTGTTCTCTGATAAGCCAGTGAATAAAATTTCTAAAACGTCAGACTTGGGGCCTGATTCAAAGCCTACTGAAGTCAATGAGAGTCTTTCCATTGTCTTCCATGAGCTCTGAACCAGGCCCTTGAAGAGTTTTCTTGCTATTAACTTCAGCTGATGACCATAGTTTTTGGTTAGGGTTAGAGCTGGGTCAAAAGTCAGAATTTTTGTTTCATGGGAAACTTTGCTATTTCAAAGTTTTTGAAATTTTCAACCAAACGGAAATGTTGCAGTCATGTTGGTTTCAGCCATCAGCTGGCAAGGCATTCAGGATCCGTGATTCCAGGGCAGCCCTGCCATGCAGACTCCCGCAGGGCCAGGGACTCCATGGCTTCCAGGCTCCTGGGCCAGCTGGCTCTCCAATGCCCACAGTAGTTGGCTCCCCGACTGCCCAATTCTCACAGCCTTGGAAGCCAGCTGCCCCAAGATTTGGGCAGGCCAAGATTATGGAAGCTAGGGGGCCAGTCTGCCTGGCGGGTATGCCCTGGAACCACAGACCCTGAAGCCTGTCCCAGGACTTCCAGACTTCCAGCTTTGTGGCAGGGAACCTGGAAGCCCTGTGTGCCCCAGCTAGAGCCTGGCTGTCGGGCTTCTGTGGCAGCGGGCTCCCTGGGCTGCAGGGATCAGTCAATCCAGGGAGCCAGTAGGCCTGAGAGTCTGGAAGCCTTGGTGTCCCCAACACTGGGGACGGTCCACATAGCCAGGCTGTCCTGGAGCTGCAAATCCTGGAAGTCTAGGAGTCCCGACTCCAAGGCAGTCCTTCAGGTGTGCTGCCAAGGAGCTGGGCAAGGTGGCAGGGAGAGATGTGAAACCTGCCTGACAGGCCGGGTTCTGCCTGTGTTCCTTCATGAGACTTGTCAAAAGTGACAGATTGGCGTGAAACCTTTTGCTTTTGACAAATTGGCATTTTCTGATGCAAATTTGTTCCAGCAGACAATTTCCAACCAGCTCCAGGCAGAATACCTTTACATTTGAGTCCCACGAATGAACATTTGTATAAACAAATCAGTCTGTATATATGCATTCCTCTCTCCCCCCCCCCCCACTTAAGGAGGGCTTAAGTTGTCTTGAGACAAAAGAAATTTATTTTATGAGAAAACTGGCTATTAGAAATGATAGCCTCTGAAATGATTGGCAGTGATCACTGAATAATACCCGACAATACATGTTAAATGGCTCCTTTATGGCTTGTGCTCTCAAGAGTCTAAGGTAATGGGGAGTCTAGATTGATGTTTTCAGGCTTTCACGTCCTCCAGTCAATAGCGATTTACCAAAAGAAGTAAATCTAGTTTCAATACTATTTTGTCTTCCAGATGACTGGGAATAGGCCGGGTACAACTCCTACAAAGATGAACACCTGGGACAAGAGTACTAATTCAGCCAATCGGATTGATTTATCAGCAGTCTGATATTAGACCCAGATTCTCTCTGAAAATCAAGCCCTACCTTCAGGACCTCCAATACAGCGTCCACCATTATTTTCTCACCATTAATGCCAGTAGGAACTGCTCTTCTAATCACTGCCTAATAAATTGGAAATTGCCATATTGCTTTGCCGAGTATGTACAAGTCTGTCCTCATCTGCCTCCCTTCCAGTGTGTAATGCAATCTACCACTTGGCCATTAGCAATAGCCGCAGAGTAACTAGCACTACTATACACTGGATGGTTTTGTCAGTGACGATGACAACACTAGGGATGGGAAGGTTATTGCTATCTAAATCTAAAGGTCAAGTATTTCAGGAAAGATGCATTTTTGTGCTCTGCAAATGAAATGCTTCCTATTGTGATGTTGTAACAGGGCTAGTCTTGTTTAGCGGTGTACTCTCTGTTTACATGTAATATCTTAAGTAATCCAATTATCCCAGTGAAGCTTATTAACACCACATTCTGCCAACAGGCATTATATTGGAACACTGTAAAGAAGCCAGACCTTGAAGGGGAAAAAAGAAAAAAATTCCAGCCATTCGGCCTGCTCTATAGACTTGGGACCTATGAAGCAGATATACAAACAACATGTGCATATATATATTACACACACACACACACACAGCTAACTTTTTAGATATTCCTTTTTCCAGATCTGCAATATATATAAATGGCTCTGACTGCCCTGCTCCAATCCGCAATGTTAGTTTCAGTTAAAGGGTGATTTCTGTCTGCTGACAAACCATAATAGAAGCTAGTTGTCTCAGTCTTTCAGATAGATCAACAACGGTCCATCACACGCATTTCACAAATGGAATTGACCTGTAGCTTCTGGAAATCAAAACCCACACTGTGACTTATCTTTCTCCTTTTAGTGGTCAGAATGAGACACTGAATTCCAACAAAATACTGTGAAGGTAGCAAGACTGCAGATGGGTCTGTGTATTGGTATCTACAGACATCTTTTAAACAGACCGCAAAACAGTCTTTTGTGATTTAAGCTCTACTCAGCATTCATCAGCTTTTGCTTCCAATACAATTATGTAGTATCTTTGGGAGGGCCAGGGAGGGGACTCATTTTTCATTGGAGCAATGTCTTCCTGGTTCTTGTAGACTGTGTCAGTCGGTAATTCACTGAAGGTAGTTTGGACACACTGAGGCAGACCCTCAGCCACACTTTGTTGTGCCCACCCAGTGGGGTTGGTGGGGAGAGGACAAGGTGGCTTTTGCCACTGATATGCCCCTATTATCTTGAGGCTGGCCAGGGGCTAATTTGGCCTCAAAAATATGCATCTTGCTTTATTTGCTCAGCAACAATCGTTCCAAAGGGAACATTCCACCAGCTCAGTCTGCTCAGACCAAAACGACATTGTTGCCACGTCTTCTTTCTCCTAGCCATATCTCTAACACCCCACCCCCAACGCTGCCCCATCTCACCCGGGGATTCCCCTTCAGTAGGCAACCCCCCAAGTAGTTTGTGCTTGCTTTCCCAATGCTTTGTGCCACCAGCTGTAAGGGGGCCGATGATTTGACCCAACGTTTTCAAAGTATCTTTCCCCATTTAATTTAATGTTTATACTTTCCACAGTTAAGGCCAAGGCTGATCCACTGAAGTCAATGACAATCTCCCATTGATGTTAGTGGGAGTTTTATCATTGATTTAAGGGGACCGGGATTTGTTCCCTAACTAACTAAAAAGGGAACCACATTCTGCAGTTATTGCATTAACTTAAACAAATTTACTCCAGATGTACACAGGCAAATCAGAGCAGAATTTGGCCCACTGTGTCTATCATAAATACTTGTAAATACAGACATTTATTAATTCTAATCCTGTGAGCAGAATAATTCTATTTTGTTGACAGCTAAATGTAAAAGCAGGGAAAGAAGAAAGCTAAATACTGAAGTGGCTCTCTCTCTCTCTATCGGCTTTTGTGCATAGGCTTGCTCTTAGCCCTTTGAGCATTGGAATAATTATTACAACGGTGTAAATACAGCAGACCCTTGTGGAAAGAGAATGTCTGTTCCAAGAGATACAATAGGAAGAGTGATTGGAATATATGGAAGCAGGTTGTTGTAACAGAACTGTACTGTGATAACAGAGTTCAAAGTGTCTGTGTTGTGTGCTGATAAAATATTTAAACATATTTTTGATACTGAAGCACATTTTTTAAAAAACTGTGACCATGGATATAGATTTTAACCCTATTAGGCGATTTCTCTTCTAATCATTACGTTATAGTAAAAGTGATGTTGTGAATGAGTCATAGGAAATACAAGGGGTTTAAAAAAACCTGGATTTTTAAATATTTATAATTCCCACTGTGCCATTTTCTCACTTTGAATGCAACTCCTTTGCTAAATTTATAGCAGTCACCTAAGTTACTGTCAGTAGCAATGATTATCATAGATCCATTTGAAAATAACATTTGACATACAGTACAACAGCATCTACTATAAAGGGTTAAATCTATTTTTTTATCCAGGTATAACATATAATGTGGTCCCCAAAATACATCAATAGACTCAATGAATCATGAAGATGATTTTTAAACACTTTGGAATATGACATAGATGTATTATATAAGGAGTGAACATTTATTAACCCATATGTATTGAGACCTATTGAAGATACTGCAATGTTTTCCAGTACATAACCTGTGTCCCATGCTTTATCTGTGCATTTTGAACATAAAGTAGTATATCTTGGTTATGTCACGTGAGTTTAGGAGTTAGAACACTGTATTATTAGTAATGGGAATGGAGTTCCTTTTGTTTGCTTCTTTAGTTTCTGATAAAGTAGTAAAAAACCACAAGCATATTGTAAATGTCCACCCCCACCAAGTCTGTTCATCTTGTTTGATTCTATGTATTTTTCACAGTTTTACTGAATGCAGAAAATATACTGAAATAGAAATGCTTGAAATGAATCTTCAAAAAACCCTGTTCTTATCCTCAGTCTTAAAGTATGAAAATCATGCAGTTTATTTATGGGCTTGTATATGGCAGCTTTTGCAGTATTTCTTCGGGACAGCATCATTTTCTCAATGGTATGAAATCTTAATTGAATGAGATGTGAGTTTTAAATTAGATTATGTAGCAAGAATGATTTTGCAAGTAAGTAATAATAAAATGTTTTTTTTCCAAAATAAAACAAAACATCTTAATTTTCTAACAAGATTTTGTGTTTGTTCCATTTATTCACATGGGTTAAAGAACACTGGGAATATATAGTTTCTTAGTGAAGTACCAACACTGTGCCTAAGCATATCAATCCTTACTTATGTGAGAAGTCCCCCTGAAATACTCATAACGTGTGGCCTAGTATCACCAAGATACTATGTAGGCATCCAAAGAAGTGGGTTGTAGCCCACGAAAGCTTATGCTCTAATAAATTTGTTAGTCTCTAAGGTGCCACAAGTACTCCTGTTCTTTTTGCAGATACAGACTAACACGGCTGCTACTCTGAAACATATGTAGGCAATGTTTTTGTTTTAAACTTTAAACTTTCTTAAGCATATTTTTAGAAAAAAAAAACATCCAAAATTGATTTTAAAATGACCAGTGATGGAGAATCCACCAAGACCCCGGGTAAATTGTTCCAGTGGTTAATTACCCTCACCATTAAAAATGTACACCATATTTCCAGTCTGAATTTGTTTAGACAGTGGATTGTTAGACCTTTCTCTGCCAGATTGAAGAGCTCATCAGTAACTATTTGTTCCCCATGTAGATACTTACAGACTGTAATCAAGGATTCACGTAGTTCAGGGGTTCTCAGACTGGGAGTCAGGACCCCTCAGGGGGTCGTGAGGTTATTACATGGGGGGGTCACGAGCTGTCAGCCTCCACCCCAAACCCTGATTTGCCTCCAGCATTTATAATGGTGTTAAATATATTAAAAAGTGTTTTTAATTTATAAGGGGGGGGGTTGCACTCAGAGGCTTGCTATGTGAAAGAGGTCACCAGTACAAAAGTTTAAGAATCACTGATGTAGTTGCTGCAGAACTCTCAACACACAACCCCTGTGCTCAGGCTATGTGCTATGCGGTGAAATCAAGGTGACCAGATGTCCTGATTTTATAGGGACAGTCCTGATACTCGGGGCTTTGTATATACTATACTATATAAGTATAGGCGCTTATTGCCCCTCACCTCCTGTCCTGATTTTTTACACTTGCTATCTGGTCACTCTAGGTGAAATTCACCTGTGCAGAAGTGTAGCACAAGGTTTAGGTCTCACTTGAGCCCTCAGAAGTAGGACTTCAGTGGCACATAGCCGTCTTGCTGACCCTCTATACAGGACAGAATATCATTCTGGACTGAGGATTCGGGCCATAACAAAGTATATCACAAAAGCTACAAGCTTTTGCCATCCCTTACTACTTTCACATTTTGGATCCAGTTTCTTTTCCCTCCTCCTTATTTTAAACAACAGGTAATATAAACATAGACCAGAAATACAACATCTCCATGATGAAACTCATATAGCGCCAAGCAGCTTAATCATCACACAAGTGCAAAAGTACAGATGTCAAATGGTTTCAAGGTTAGAGAGAGATCTAGCATAATTAATACACCACTAACTCAATTCCCACTGCTGTGTGTATACACACTGCAGTGTGTGTGTGTGGAGAAGCATAACCAGAGTGATTATATTCCAGGAAGTTAAAATGGGAAGTTTGGGCTTTAGATGACAAGGATTCTACCGTAGGGACTGAAATACTCTCTTTATATGCTACGAAACCTTACTTCTTTTGCCTAGAGCAAAGCAGCACGGAATATACTGTAAGTATCTTTTCCCTCTATCTTGTGAAATAAAGAGATTTTCTTTTACATTTATCATCCCCGACAGAGTAATAAATGATATTATATTGTGTCTGATTTACAGCATGTTTGCCTTTAAAGTATTTTCATTACATCTTAGGTTATGCTTGTATGACCTGATACCATTTACGTCATGGATAGTTATTGCTGTAATTGCCCTCGTTCAGACAATTTTCTTCCTCAATAATTCCTTATGTTCTTTGAATTGGGAGACTATCTTTCATCTTGTCAGGGTTGGTTACAATGCTAAATATGCTACAGACATCAGCATTTTCCCAGAGCTCGAATGCTTCAAATAAATTCTGAGTTGAAAGGATGCCTCTTGCTTACTGTTCAGCATGTAAATAACCAAGCAGCTTCCTTGATTGGATGACAATTCTCAGATAATTAGCCAATAAGTACCAGAAGAGAGAGGAGCAGAATATCTAACTTGCCCACATTTAAAAAAAAAAGGTAATTTACCTTCCCCCACTATTCTCCGGTGCTTGTTGTATGAAAATTGGATTGACTGGGAGTTTCACTTTCCCATTTGAGCATTCCCCTAGATGAATATATGCCTAACATCAAGGAAGCAGAATGATGCATATAGCAGGCTAGGCACTAAAATCCAAAGCCAAGATTTCACTAGTGATTCTGAGCGCTCAACTTGATACCAGGGCCGGCTCCAGGCACCAGCATTCCAAGCAGGTGCTTGGGGCGGCAATCTGCAAGGGGCGGCAGTCCGTGTGTTTTTGCCATCCCAAGCAGCGCACCGAATTGCCGCCGCGGACAGCAGGGGCAGTCTGTGTGCCGTTAGGGCGGCACGCACGTTTCCGTGGCAGCGGCAATTCGGCGGCAGCTTCTATGTTCAGCTGCCCGCGGCGGCAATTCGGTGGCTTCTGTCTTCCAGCTGAAGACAGAAGCTGCCGCCGAATTGCCGCCGCCGCAGAAACGCGTGTGCCACCCGAACGGCACACGGACGGCCCCCGCTGTCCGTGGCGGCAATTCGGCACGCTGCTTGGGGCGGCAAAAACAGTAGAGCTGGCCCTGCTTGATACATGATATAAAGGGGCCAGATTTTCAGAGAGTGGATAGTCAGCACCTTTTCAAAATCATGCCCTTTCAAGGTGTCTCAAGTTGGGCAACCAGAAATAGAGGCACCCCAAATCAGTAGCCCCCTTTGAACATGTTGGTCTAATTTATTAGGACCTTGACATTTTAGAAAAAGGATTATGACAACAACGGCATTGCTGCTTTCTGCAATTTTGTTTTGAAGACCTGCCCCCCCCCCCAGCCTGACCAAATGTAGGGAAGTCTCATCACTAATCCCCAACCCTTCATGCTCTATCCTCTAAAAAATAGGTTATTGGGGGAATAGTGGACAATAGATTATTGGGAAAAAGACTCCAAGGCCCTGCTGTCACTGACTCAGAGCTCCAAGTTTCAATCTCTAGAGACAGCTGAGGTGATGGCGGTTACGGTACATTCCTCACAGGAGGCTTAAGTAGTATTTGTCAAGGTTTCAGGGACGCTTAGAGGAACGAGAGATTATAAAAAAAGCTTTGTGCTTACGCTATATTTTGCGCACAGTAAACTAAACATTGTGCATTAAGACTTGCAGATGAGTAGTCAACAGAGAGCACTCTGCCTACATGTGATTTTATACATCTCTGAGATAAATATAAAACCCAGCATTTAGGGACACCCTGGAGATTTGTCTTTCTTAGGGATCATTAGGTCCATGCATGAATTAATGTCCTGTGTTTGTTGATATGTACTTTTCCATCCCTGACAGTTCTCAGAGGGAGATTATGCTTCAGTGATGAAATGCAATCTAATCAAAACAAGTTATTAATACAAATTTAAAATATTCATTTAATTATTCAAAAAACGCATAAGACTTTCTGCTTTTTTAATACCTTTCATTTAACTGACTTGTATGCTACAGGCCACAAAATGTAGCAACCATTACTACTTTCATTTGGAACCTAGCCTCTCGGACAGTGGGTGAAATTCGCCTATACACCACTGAAATCCTCAAGGTTAAATGCAAGGTGGAAGAGATTATTTAGCATATTCTAAGGGAACATTCAAGGTAGAGTGGCCCTTTAACATCTCTGCAGCAGACATGCCAAACCTGCGGGAAAAAATGCAGAAATTAGGCTTGTTTTTGGCTTAATTGGCTTGGGAGTTGCTTGTTGACTAGTTTTTGGCTTGTAGCTTCTTTTTTTTGATCGGCTCCTGGCAAGCAGGGGCAAGGGGGGGCAAGCAGGGGAGAGAGTCAGAGGTGCACAGCAGGCCCACCACACTCCCAGACTGCACATAGAGTGTTGGGTTCTTAGGGATTGACTTGTTTGGGCCTGGTTTTGAAATGGGATTAGCTTGATTTCAGATTTATTGTGAACGTCGGGGTGCTTATTTACTGCGTGAAAGTTGGTAGCTGTGCTCTGCAGTCATAGGACATAAAAAGAGGGGTAGTGGGTTACAGACCTTGAATGGTCCTTTAGTATATATACTAACTACTTATGCTAAACAATCTTTTCCACCTTACATTTAGCTGTGATGCTGGAAGTACCTTTCCCAGACCTGGAGAAGAGCTCTGCGTGGTTCAAAAGCTTGTCTCTCTCACCAACAGAAGTTGGCTCAATAAAAGATATTACCTCACCCACCTGGTCTTGCTAATATCCTGGGACTGACACGGCTACAACTACACTAAATACAACTTTTGGTATAGACTGTGTAGTATGGAATACATATGCCAGATTGACACGCTGTAGAGATTCTGCAGAAATACAACTACATTTCTGATCATACCTTCCAGTGGGGATGAGGAGAAATTTGAATCTGCAACAACCGTAAGATGAACACAATGACCACAACATTGATATAAACATCCCATTCCTATGAAAACACAGAGAGAGGGGGCAAATTATCTCATTTGTGCAGTTTTTCTTCAAAAAGGTCAGATTTGGCCCTTGTGTTTTTGCAACCAGTTCTGTGCATAGAAGGGGGTCACTGTTGTCAATAACAGATCATTTATTTGTCTAAATCTTTCAAGTCTGACTGAGAAATAATTTCTTCTTGTAACTGTTCCTTTTTTGTTTATTATCATTGCTGGGTTGGCGGTGGAAAGTGTACTATGTGCGGGTGTATTAAAAAAAACAAACATGCAGAAGGTTGCTCAACAATATGTTCTTCCAACACCAACAAGTAAACGCTACATTTAATATGCAGAAGATCACTCAGCATCAGCCTTAAAAGCCAAATAATAACCACCACCCATAATTATTTTGTAAGATCACTGTATATAAAACAATGCCATACAC